CCTACACGATACTGGGAGTTCAGGACAAATACTGCCCTCAGGCCCCTATGTATTTGGTGCCTGTAAGTGATGGGCTTTGCAGTTCACAGTTGGTAACTCATTACTGTATTACTTGCTGTACTGAATTTGCTGTTTTGCTAATATAGTTACACTGATTTAAATTATGCAAAGCCTTCAATATTAAAAGGAAAAATAGATACTAATGTGCATTGTTTTGTGTACAACAAATAATAATGACTATGAGTTATTTTGTTTTCTCAATATATAGGTCTATCGAAATACGGAGAACAACATTTCTACACACACTTACAATTACAAAAACAGACCACAGGTGACCACAGAAGATGAATCTCTTCCTTGCACCAATCTAAACCAAAATGAAGATCCTCAGTTTTAAAAGTAATCCTTTTTCTGGACTTTATCTAGAAATTATTATATAAGCTCTATATTAAAAAATGTTATATATTACTAATAAAAAATAGCTGCTGCTATATTAGAATTTCTCACAAGCCATTCTATCATACTGTTACCATAAAAAGAAATATTTTGAATCCAGCAAGTTAATTAACCATGAGTCTGAAGCAGTAAATGTCTTTCTGGTATATCTACAACTGAAAATTTCCCACTACTTGTTTAAGGAAACTATCTATTCAGTGAACTACATTCAAATGATTGTATGCTGCATTGTGAGCAAACACATGAAGAACTAAAGAATTTAGCCAAAATTTCCAAACTTGGATGCTTATGTTTGAGTGTACAAGCCTAACAGGCTGATTTTTCAAAAGTATTGCACACACATTGAAGGTAATACTGTTTGCAAATCAGACAACACTGATATAAATTCCTAACTTTGGACACCTGTGTTTAAAATGTTTGGCCTCTAATTCCAAGGTCCTAACATGCTTCTGGTAATTTGACTGTGACTCTTTCAACTTTTTTACACTTCCTGTTAGATGTATAGTAAAATTTCTTACATGTTTTCTAATATGTAATACGAATGTACAAATTTAATTTGTAATGAGATTATTCTTGGAAATAATGTAAGAATATAATTTCATCTCTCCCACTTCCTAGTAGTTTTAATGGGAGCTAGATGTATGCATTTTATTGCCTTGAGATGAGAAGAAAACTCTTTATCTGTTTTCCTGTGTTCCTATGGTAATAATCAGTGACTCGATTACTATTAAATTAATATAGGTTTGGAGACATCATATATTCCTTTTGATGTTCTAGGGACTAATAGGTACAAACTTCCATAACTGCTAATAGAAGTTGTGTGCTTCCTAGTAAGTCAGGATAGGAATATGTTCTTTAACCATTTCCCCCTTTTTATATTACATGTATTGCTAACTGTGTTCAGAACTTTCCTTGATAAATTTAATAAGTACATAATTGTTATGATGAACTATGTTATTGCATAAATTCAGCTGCTCTTTACTAACAATGCCCTGACAATGATTAATTAATATGTATTAGCATATCAGTAATGTATTTTAGATCTTGGTTAAGTTTTATTAAATGATCAAACTGAATTTTTTATACCAGAAATAAACTTCTGCTGAAGAATATCTTTGAAATACAAATGTAGCAATAAAACTTTTCAAAACTAGATTTTTTTCCTGTTTCTGAAAAAAATACATAAATTGTGTTTTCAAAACCTATTTTTAGTTTATGGAACTATTAACAATTATAAAATGCTCAGAAAAGAGACTGCAGTAAGTAGCATGCTAAGCAGGGGACATGCCTACGTAAGACGCTACGTTGCCATAGCTACAAGTTACATCTCCGTAGCTCATCGCTACAGTGACATAGCGTCTAAAAATAACTATGCACTGCTGGGATGGTGCAGTACCAAATGCACAATCAGGGTCTTGTGTAGATATGCCCAGGATGTTTCAAATCAGATATAAAGAGAGGGCTGTGCACCTTTTTGTGCTGATGCTTTCTCTCTCTACTGTTACAGTTCATGACGTGTCTCCAAAGATGAGGAGTCTTGTGACTTCCTTTCCGTGTCAAACAGTGTCTCTGGAAAACCTTGTGTAGTACGGTAGATTTAAAGCTCAACAGAATGCCCAGGTGACTCTAAACTCAGGGATGCCCAGGCGATTTCTGAACTCAGGGATGAAGCAGGCACGCTTAAAGCATTCTGTTTCTAGTAAGCTTTCTGTACATTTGAACACTGAAGGGACAAGAATAGCACATGCAACTCTTGCTATGAAAAGATAGCAAAAATTCCATACATGGACAAGAAACTGTTCTAATTATCAGTGGACTACCCTAGGTAGAGACTAGGTTTAATTCCCAGCACTGTCACAGATTATCTGCATGAGCATGAGCCACTCACCTGGTCTTCCCTTGCCTTCCCCTTCTGGAAAATAGATGCCTCCCAACTTCCTAGTAATTTTGTAAAGATAAATGCTTCCTATACCTATGGTTCTCAATCTTTTTTAATATGAGGCAGCCCTCAATAGATTCAAGTCACACTTCAATGGACTTGGAAAATGCCAGCTTTTAGTTTTCATTCTTGTTTTTTCATTCCAGAAAATAACAAAGCATTTTTTCTCATAATGCTTTTAATACTATGGATTCCTGTCTGAAAACTTAGGGTTGGCCTTGAGAATCATGTTTGCACATCTAACAGTTTTAACATTGCATGGCACTCTGCAGCACCCCTTTAAGCATCTTCAGGCACCCCAGGATGTCACATCACCCTGGTTGAGAATTGGTGCTCTAGACCATGACATGCTACAATGAAAGGCATATCAATGCCTAGTATAGATAGATGTTACACAGGATGGCCCTAAATGTGAAATAAGAATCAGTGACAATACACAAAGAATTATGATCCCTCTTAATGCTCATGTAAATAGCTGGCTATTTAAAGTCCCTGCTAGAAGAAAAATTGAGACAAAGCCAAATACTTCCACTGTAGAGAAACTGTTAAGCTAAGATGCATTTGAATGAAAGTGTTTCTATCACAGTTAAAGCTGGTAAAAATAAAAGTAAAAAATATATAATTGAATCTGTTGTATCCTAAAAGCATTACATGCTCTGTAACATATACTTATGAATCAGAAGACAAACTTGGAAAAATGGTACCCTGGATAGTACCTGCACTGTGTCAAGTAACTCTTCTCCAGTCAGCAGGACTTTTATGTACTTTTATTGACTAATATATATATATTTTTTTTTTCAAAGTAAATTATATTGGCTCATTTTACATTGACAATTATTTTTATATAGATGATGGAAAACTATGGGACCCAGAAAGATATTTTAGAACTTACATGAAAATTAAATTAATGAAGTTGACCAAAATATGTAAAAAGATAGACATGCATATTGTTTCAACTACATTTCTGCCCAATATTAGGAAATATCCATATGGCTTTCCAGTTCAATACAACTATAGTTTTGTTCTGTTCTAGGGTAAGAAGAAAACCCAACCCAATTTCCATTCACTTTTCAATGTTGGACACTAGGTGGAGCCCTAAGATCATTGTTTTAGATTTGTTCTAGCCCTGGGCATCTGCAATAAGATGCGCTCATAAAAGTTCCTAGCAAGGGAAACTTACACAACACTTCCCAGAGACGAGCCTATGAGCTCAATTTCATCAACCTCCTGGATACTAGAGATCATGGACTAAACAGAGACATTGGATTTTTTATACATTATTATCTGCCTGGCAACTGACTCCCCAGCCCAGCCCCTGGCTTCTTTACTTTTCATTCCATCCAGGAAGAGCACACACCAACTGCTGAAACTTCCTTAGCCTGACAAAGGGTTTCTGAACTCGAAAGCTTGCTTAATAACTATTCTCCAACTATTTGGGTTGGTCTAATAAAAGATATCAAATTCACCCAAGGAACCTTGTCTGCCTAGTATTTATATACGCATTCTATTATACAACTCATAAGAATTCTATTATAAAAAATTCTATTATACAACTCATAAAAGTTCCTAGCATGTAGATACAGCCTCTGGCTTCTTTACTATTCATTCTGTCCAGGAAGAGTACACACCAACTGCAGATGCTTCCTCAGCCTATTGAAGGGTTTGTAAACCCAAAAGCTTGCTAAGAATTTTTTTTCCAACTATTTAAGTTGGTCTGATAAAAGATATCAGATTCACTGAAAGAACCATGTCTAGCATTTTTATAGTATTTTACATGTCCAAAGCGTTATGTCAACATACCTCAATTAACCCCCATAAAAACCCTGACACCCTACTCTTGCCCATGACATGACCCAAACTACAAGAAAGGTCAGTTGATGTTAATGAGCATTGCCAACATCTTGAAGTCCTAAGACTAATACAGCAAGAGAAAAATTAGTTGTTTAAAATACCTCAGCATTGAGCTTTTTGAAGATGAAGATGGCTGTTTAGTGTGGGATTTAGTTAAGATGGCCTGTGTGCCTCTCTCACCTTAGTAAGATTCATTGATATGGAACAAATTCTGCCCTTGACTTCACACAGATGACCTTAGAACAGAATTTAATCCTGGAAGTTTAGTATTCACTTGAGCTCTTCTATTGCATCCTGCACAGAAGCAGAGCAATCTACAGGCATAAACATGGACCTAGGCCAGGGGCGACCCCCTGAGCATGGCAGTGCACCCCCTACAAAAAGACGCTGGCGTCTGCAGGCAGTCCATGATCCCCATTGGCTGCCAGTGCCATCTGCGGGTGGTTGCCGACCCCTGGTCTGTGCTCGCCACTCCTCCTCCCCCCCCCCATCTGCAGGAACTTACTGCCTCCAGGCTCCTGCCACCGCTGTTGTGCTCCTGCTGCCACCAGTGCAGCTGTGCCCCCTCAGCCGCCAGAGGCACACGTCATTCATGATGCCACCTCTCCCCTTTATACCCAGAGCATTTGTCCAGGAAGCAGGAGCACCAGGTTCAATTCCTCCCCTGCCTGAGGGGATTTCTGGGCCTGGTGATCTAATCACTAGGCTACAGGGTACCCTAGAACTGGGCTCTGCCCTCTCAAGCTGCTCCATTAGTAAATTATGCATCAGGCCTCTAAGGCCTCACAGACTAGTAATTAACATCCTTTCCTGGGAATGGGGCAAGGACTGGAATTCAGCCTTTGCCCACAAAGCTGTACACACTAACAGTTATACTACAGACCTATTCTCTCTCTCTCGCTCTCTCTCTCCCCCCCCCCCCCC